AAGAGTTTCGAGCTTCGGTGTTTCAATTACAGTGGCATTTTGTGTTTCTACTGAGTGAGAGAAGTTTCAAGTTAGCTTGTTAAGAATGATTTACACCATAATTCTAGGAAAAACAAATGTGAGTGACTGAAATTTGAAAGGAAAGAGTATAGGGGGGAAGTGCCAGACTAAACGAATCCTAAGTAAATAGGGTGTTTCTTGAAGGGGGGTGGGCGGGAATGGTTTCCTTTTTAGAAAAACGAAAGAGAAATTGTATGTATTCTTGGTAATTACTTCTCTTACCTGGGTAAGGTGAAGCAAAAAAAAGAAAAGAAGAGACAAAGAACAGAATTGCTCCATTTGCTCCCTGTAAAAGCAAATTTTCAGGAGAGGGCAGGTGTTTCCCTTAAATTTGCATGACAACATCTTACTGGGAATGAGCAATACTGGAAATTAGAACGAAGAATTTCACTTTTTTTTCTCCCTCTAAATGTGGCAGAAAAGGTTTTGTTGGAGCGAGATAAGCATTTTCCATGAAACAGTGCAGTAGTGACATTAGGTAATACATGGTGACTGGGACACACCGCATGGTATACTAGAGAAATTGCATGATACCTACATGATAACTAGAGTAACTTTAGTTATCACTACCATATTATCTCCTGATAACTATATAATTAGTTTGTGTCATCAAAGCACCCTAAACGTATGCCTGTTCCAGCTACTCTGGTAGAAAAAATAAATAAATAAACTTTTTTGCAAGGGGGAAAAAAAGCTAATGAAGAAAGTTGCCAAGAACAGATATTTTGTAATCTGTGCTAAATCTCTGCTGGAAAACATGAACAGTAACGAAGCTGAGAAGACAGTAAAAGAAATTCGGGGCAAGGTGCCAGACGCCCAGACGGAAGGAGAATGTGGACCAAAAGATTGCGACAATCGGGTAATTATGGTTTATGAATTTCAGCTTTAATCTGTAGTTCAGTGAGTCCTGATTAAATATCTGTTAAACACAATTAAAGTTTGTTTTTGTATTTCACCGTCTTGATCAGAATAATTAGAGACTGCGTGTTTCATGTCAAAAGTAGCAAGAGGAATTTTAGTGAATGAACATCGTTTTTAAAAGCCATTTGTAGCACCAGCTGTTGGCATTATTTTATATTTTAGTGTTATCAGCATAAAGATGGTCCTCTGGATGCTGAATAGTTTCCAGCAGGACAAGGATGTTATGCTGTTATGATGGGCATGTGCTGATGAGGCTTAAATGTTTAAGGACTAGTGTTCGTTGGAAATGATGGACAAGGGAGATGTACATCAGGCAAGCAGATATTTTAGGGAAGCCACGGAAGACACTTGAGTTCAGTTTATCCATGCAAGGAGCTACCTAAGGGAATTTCTTATGGTATAGTCACTGGTGTTAACACCTGCAATGCTGGTGTTATGTGCTTGTTGAGATGTCAATATAGTGCCTGAAGGAAGGTGCAAGAAAGGTGTAATGAGAAGTGCTAGAATTCTGTTCTGGGTTGGTTCTCAGCTAAAGATGTGTGCCTATTATTCCTAGAGTTAGGAGAAGGAAGTGCAGAAAGCATTTACTGTGCTAATAATTCTTTGGCTAAGGATAGCAGTATGAATTTTCAAAAAGGACAAATTTAAATATAAATGGGATTAACTAAAACTCGGTAAAGGAGCAAAATCTGGTTCTGCAAACCAAAAGAGAAACTGGAGAGTTGTATATCACAATGTCCTCAAAAATTATGAGGTTATGTGTAAAAATGTCTATGCAGCTTGCAATGGTATAAGATTTAAAGAAATAAGATACCGTCTTGCTTGCTGCTTGAAATTTGGGTACCTAGAATATTTTGATCCCTGTGACAGACAGATTAATACCCCCCTCCCCACCCCACCAAAGATGCTCAGATTCTAATCCTCAGAACCTGTGAATATGTTGCCTTAGACGGCAAAGAGACTTTGCAGATGTGACTAAATTAAGGATTTTTGAGATGGGAAGATTATACCGGATTATCTGAATAGGCCTAATATGATTATAAGGGCCCTTTAAGGGAAAGAGGGAGGCAAGAGGATCACAGAGAAAGAGATGTGGTGATGGAAGCAGAGGTCAGAGAGAGAGAGATTTAAAGATGCTGCATTGCTGGTTTTGAAGAGGGAGGAATGGACCATGAGCCAATGAATACAGGTGACTTCTAATAACTGGAAAACTCAAGGAAAGGGATTTTCTCTTAAAGAGTCCAGAAAAAATCAGCTCTGTTGATACTTTGATTTTAGGACTTCTGACCTCCAGATCTGTAATAAGTTAGTGCTAATTTGTTACAGCAACAACAGGAAACTAATACTGTCCCTACAAACCTGCTTCATGAACTTGATTTCTATTGAAAAGTTATCTAGTGAAAAGTACATCCAGGTATGGGAAAAATAATAAGCCTTTATGAATTTAATCTTCTAAAGTTTGTTTTCTAGGCTGTCTTTGTGGCATAATTTGGAGATATATCTGCTATGATATGAATTTTAAAAGTCCATGTACTACAAATTAAAATCATGGACAAATTCAACCCTATCTCCCCAGCACTAGTTATCAGCATACATTCCAAACTAGAAATGTTTTCAGAAAGGAAGAATTGTAGAATGAGAATAATTTCTCTAACAATAATAGTGGTTAACATTTGACTACCTACCTTAGATTTAACCACTTGACTGTGGCAACAGTTGACCACTTTTAAGCTACAGAAATGGCGGTTTAATATAACTGATTAATATAACCAGTGTTTTCTCATTTAAACATTCTAAGAACGTCATGAGGATTCTGAAACTAAGGTTAAAATTTTTACCCAAGATTAATACATTTTAGAGTTATGCAAACTTCAGGCTAATAACGTACTTTGTTTTCATCATGTTCAGTTAAAAATGAGATTCAGTTCCCATTGTTAGTACAGTAAGTGCTTTCTGCACTTCCTTCTCCTAGCTCTAGGAATAATAGGCACACCTCTTTAGCTGAGAACCAACCCAGAACAGAATTCTAGCACTTCTCATTCCATTGGCCAAAGGTGCCTTTGCAGATCTGAGGATTCATGTGTCTCACATCCTGTTCAAAAAAGTAACAGTATAAAAGTCATGGGAAAGTTGTAGAGGAAAGTGAATGTAACCCAAATAGACAAAGACAGTGATAGCAATTGGCTACCTAGCATCTTTGTATTGAAAAGAGGATATAGAAGCATACTTCTTTGTATTGCACTTTACTTTATTGCACTTCCCAGACATTACATTACTTGCAAATTGAAAGTTTGTGGCAACCCTGCATTGAGCAAGTCTATTGGCATCATTTTTCCAACAGCATGTGTTCACATCATATCTCTGTGTCACATTTTGGTGGTTCTTGGCAATATTTTAAACCTTTTGATTATTATTATATTTGTTTAAGTGATCTGTGATCAGTGATCTTTGATGTCTCTATTCTCATTGTTTTGAAATGCCACAAACCACACCCTTATGACAAATTTAATCTATAAAATGTTTTATATGTTCTGACTGCCTTACCAACTAGCTATTCCCTTATCTGTCTTTCTCTCCTGGGACTTCCCTGTTCCCTGAGACACAATATTGAAATAAGGCTAATTAGCAACTCTACAATGACCTCTAAGTGTTCAAGTGAGAGGAACAGTCACATTGTCTCTCACCTTAAATCAAAAGCTAGAGATGGTTAAGCTTAGTAAGGAGGGCCCAGATAGGCTGAAACCTAAGCCCCTTGCACTAAACAGTAATAAAGTTGTAAATGCAAATAAAATGTTATTGAAGGAAATTAAAAGTGCTACTCTAGTGAAAACACCAATGAGAAGAAGGCAAAACAGTCTTATTGTTGATATGGACAAAGTTTGAGTGGTGCAGATAAAAGATCAAACCAGCCACAACATTCCCTTAAGACAAAGCCTAATCCAGAGCAAGACATTAACTCTTTTCAATTCTATGAAGACTGAGAGAGGTGAGGAAGCTTTAGAAGAAAAGTTTGAAGCCACTGGAGATTAATTCATGAAGTTTAATGAAAGAAGCCATCTCTATACCATAAAAGTGCAAAGTGAAATATCAAGTGCTGATAGAGAAGCAAGTTATCTGGATGATCCAGCTAAGATAATTGATAAGGGCGGCTGACATAAACAACAGATTCTCCATGTACATGAAACAGCCTTCAGTGGAAGGAAATGCCATTTAGGGCTTTTATAGCTATTGAGGAGAAGTCAATGCCTGGTTTCCAAGCATCAAAGGATAGGCTGACTCTCTTGTTAGGAGCTGATGCAGATGGTAACTTTAACTGGAAGCCAACATCTATTTACCATTTAGAAAATCCTAGGACTCTTGGGAGTTATGTTAAATCTACTCTGCTTGAGCTCTATAAATGGAATAACAAAGCCCGGACAACAGCATATCCATTTATAGCGTGTGTTCACATCATGTCTCTGTGTCACATTTTGGTGGTTCTTGGCAATATTTTAAACTCTTTAATCATTTAATCATTTGTGGGATACAAATCTTGGTTTTACCCCTCATTACCAAGTTGAATAACCCCATCATCTTACTTTCCTGATCTCTAAGAAATAGATAATAATAATACCTAATTCATGGACATACTTGCTGGGAGGATTAATGAAGTAATGAATGTAAAGCACTTAGAGCAGGACCTGGTCCATAATAAGCAACAGTGTTAGCTGCTGTTGCTGTCATCGTCATCATCATCATCATCATCGTCATCTACTAAAAAGTGACAGGCTCAAGAGAAACCTTACAGGGAAAACGTACCTTATTTATTGTTAAGTTGTTAGTCTAGAAAAACTTTAGAAACAATTTATTCTTACTTACTATAGCAATACAGTATTTCCAATGGCAAAATGTACTCTTTAATCTGCTTTGATAGTATGTGGAAAGATATATACTGTTTCTTTATCACTACATTAGCAGATTATTGCATTCATTGTTTTTTCATTAAAAAAAAAAGAAAAACAAATTTAAGAACAGACCGCAATAGCACTAGATCAATGCTGATAAATATAAAATTTGACCTACATTTAGAATTATATATTTTTTCATGTTGACTTTCTGGTACCTAGGAATTAGTTTTTTCTTATTATTATCTAGTTTCACAGCTACAATAACATCCCTGAAATTAAACTAAAAATGCTACAAACACAATCTAAGAGCACAGTGGCTTTCCTTTAATCAAAAACATGATTAGAATGATACCTTCTCATCTTCATTGTACCAGACATCCTTTCCCCATGAGCTCCAAGAAGGGATAGTCAACCTGGGAGGCCCACCATGCCCCAGACTTGGTGCTAGAAAGGAGAATATGTCTACTCAGCAAGGGATAGGAGTTTCATAGGTGTTCCTTCTCTACAGAAAATGTTGAAGGCAGTAGCCTTTCCAATCTACCTACGGAGGATTAAGAATAATTTGTTTTGGAATGGTATTGCTTAAAGAGATTCCCAGCCTCTTATAGTTTATGGCTTCCATTGATAAGATGATAAAAGCTATGGACCCTCTTCCCAAAAAAGGATGCAATAACTTTTCAAAGGATTCATAAACCCCCTTAAGCCTGTTGGTGGACCTTAGATTATCCCTAGTTCACAATTGTGTTCTAAGAAAATCACTCTAGGACTGATTGGGCTGACAAGATTTTAGACTAGAATTGTGCAATATATATTTACCGTGTGATCTTGGACCAGTCATTAATGTAAATTGAAGTCCTGGCTTTTAATTAATAAACTGAGTATTTTTAATCCTAATATTCAGGGAAAGTACATATTTATTTTTAGAGCATTTTGAGGTACAATTAAGTGACTACTATAATAAAGAGCACTGATATTGGCTTTGTTTACTACTTATTTATTTACTGTTTGGTCATTAATTTATTCATTCATTCAGCAAGTATTTGTTGAGCACCTACTGTTCCAGATACTGGAGATACAGTAGTGATCAGAGCTCACGAGGTCCTAGAACATTCTACTTAGGGGAGATAGTTAATAAATATGTAAACTTGCTAACATACAATGAAGAGTGAAGTGAAGAAAATAAGAGTAAAACCTCATACAGATAGCATTTAAGGAGATGGCATTTGGTTGAGACCTGAATGATGTTAGAAACCAGACATCATCGAAGGGAAATCATTCAATGAAATGAAGGGAAATCATTTCAGGCAAATTGGAATAGCAATTTCAAAGGCCCTAAGGCTCAAGTGAGCTAGGCATGTGAATTATAATAGGTCAGTGAATGAGGAAAAGTATCTTGGAGATGTGTTCAGAGAAGGAATCTGGAACCAGACTACATAGACTGCAGAATGAGAAGCTTGAATTTTATTCTAGTCACAGTAAGCAGCCATTGATGATTTACGTAGTAGAATCTCATCTCACATTGAAAGAAATCACTGTAGTTTCTGTGTAGAGAATGGGTTGTAGAGGAGCAAAAAGAAAGTAATCCCAATTAATGCTTAAGAAATGTCGAAAGTTGAAGACAAAAAGTAATCTCACGGCAGTGTAATACATTGCCTCATGAAGAATTTGCAATGTCTTTTGTTGAGCAGCCAAGAGAACAGAAACTGATTCATGAGGTTTAGCATGTCCTATGTCTTTAGCCATTTATAGTATTATTTAGGGGTCTAAATTGTTCTTTCTGAAAAGAAAGGGAAAAGGAATTGTGAGTACAATCTAGTGTTGTTCACAATGAGGTACTGTTATTTTCAGAGAAGGAGGATTGTTGAAGTAACTGATAAAGCCCTTAGCAACCAGGAATCTCAATAGGTAAGGGAATTATTGGGACTATGGGCCAGTTTTATTAAGATTCATCACAACTGTGATTCCTCTGTTTCCTGAAAACTGCCTAAGATCACAGGTTACCTATAACCTTCTTCTGTCCCTTTAAATTAGATTTAAATGTTTGCTTCTTTACCACTATCCATCCGTCAAGGTAGTTCCCAGAAATTACCATACTGAATGGTGGAAATAGGTAATGTAATTTGAATGAACATCAGAAAAGGAAGAAATTCTCTTTGGTTTATAGGTGTTTCCCAATAGAACTAAAAGATTAAGTCTGAGGGAATATATTATTTTATTAGGGTTATAGTGAGTCACCAATATTGCTTGAAAGAAGTTTAGTTCTATTATTCCTTGTTAACCAATTGAAATACTTTAGTAAATGGTAAATTGTAATAAATACAACTAGGAATGCCATGTGTAAAAATAATGGTTTATTTTTAGCTTATGGCCCACCTATTTTCACTAATAAACTAAAAAATTATATTAATCATTTCTCAATGACATTTATATATAATGCAAATTTGGTGTAGTATGCAATTATAGATGAAAATATATCTAGACAGTCATTCAGAAGGCCAAGAGTAGGAGCCTCTTCCAAAAGGGCATTTCTGTAAGACTATAGGTTATAGCTCCAGGGTAAATATGAAGAGACAAGAAACTGCATTAGAGTTCAGGATAACTCACTTAAAGTGATGTTGAATTTCATAATCAGAGTTCCTAGAATGACCTTGCAAATTATATTTCCAGGGAAACATGAACATAATAATATAGTATCATGAAATAGCCTTATTTTGTAGACCAAAAACAATTAAGTACTATATATTAAAAACATACTGCAAATACTAAATGTACTGAGCTTATTCAAATAAAGGCTTAACAACTGGTTGTTGTTGGTTGTGTTTTTTAAATGAGAGTTGAAAAAGTCTGTAATAGAATTTCTGACCTTTCTGTTACCTCAGGTCCTTATGCTGTTTTAAACACTTCCCCTCCCTTTCATTCCCAAACTGTCTTTTCTCTGGTGAAAAGAATATAAATTATCCTATCTAAATTTCAAGAATGACTATTCCTGCATGAGCGCATATCAAAGCTGAGAAGAGAATACAGAACGCCTGACAACCAGTACCATTCACACCAGCTCATCTGCTACTTACTAATAAACCTGGTTGTTAATCTTCCCTAATTTGTCTACATCTTTCAGGTAATAAAAGTGTCCAAACCATAACGCATTCTTCCGGAGAAGATAATCAGGTAACTTAATACCTTTAGCTCAAAGACACAATGTCCCTTTGTATGCAGTCTTGAATTGGATTGACATTTCTAGCTGACACTTTACATCAAAGGACATTTTGCTCAGTTCACTGTCTGATTGTGTTTATTGTCTTTTGGAACATTCCTAATTCTCTCTCTTGTTTTTTTGAGATGAAATCTTGCTCTGTCACCAGGCTAGAGTGCAGAGGCACAATCTCGGCTCACTGCAACCTCTGTCTCCCGGGTTCAAGTGATTCCCCTGCCCCAGCCTCCTGAATAGCTGGGACTACAGGCATCGCCCAGCAAATTTTTTGTATTTTAGTAGAGACTGGGTTTCACCATGTTGGCCAGACTGGTCTCAAACTTTGAACCTTGTGATCCGCCTGCCTCAGCCTCCCCAAGTTCTGGGATTACAGCTGTGAGCCACCACGCCCGGCTGAACATTACTAATTCTCAAAAAGATTTCTTCATCCTCAGCAGAATACTGAGATCTTCCAATTTCATTATCTCATTAATTTTATTAATTATTAAGATGCATCTAATTGTAAGCTTCTCTTGTCAGGAAAGTGCCTAAGTCCCATCTTTGGAGAAACTAATAATCAGAATATTGTGAATACCAAATGTATAGTTAATTTGGGCATAAAAACTCTCAACTGTGAGGGGAACAGAGAACTCTCAAGTGGAAAAGATGCTCATAACTATAATGATTCCACAGGGCCATTCATTACTTAGTGTATTATCTTAAATATGGAATGAATCACTGAGTAAAATATTTCATTTTCTTCATTTATTTAGTTGAGCCATTCAGTTCATACAGATTGGAAAACAATTACCATAGAAAGATCAACTGGTATTTTGTGACTTCATATGAATGCTACATCCTGAAGGGTATCTTCAGGATGTCCAAGCACTGAGGAACAGATGTGTCTTAGATGAAACTTTGATAGCGATAGGGCATATACTGAGATGTAAACAGTCTGTAGAGTGCAAGTGATCCTGTCTTCTAAGGCAATTTGATAGAAATTGTAGATAAGATTGGCAAGGTATGGAGGACTTCAAGGAAATGATCAATGAGGAAGTAGACCCACTGGAGAGACTTGAAAATCATGAGTTCATACCACATAACTGTTCATCTTTTGTTCTACTTTGAGAAGCAATATATGAACAGATCCAGAACCAGATCTTCTTCTGGATGAAGGGAAGCTTACAAGAAGGAAGCAAATAGTTAACTTTTCACTGGCATGCTTATTCTGTTTAGTTTTTAATTGCTAATGGTGGTTCATGGGATGTTATTATCTTCCATTGATAGAGAAGATTTAAAAAAAGAAAAAAAGAGGGGAAGGCAACAATATCTATGTTATCTCCCAATGAATTTTTTAATGACTCTGATCCAACTTCCAGGTTCAAGCTGCTTAAGTCCATTTCAATGGTGGGTCCTAACCTAGTACTCACATGTTTGGGACAATTAAAGTCAGCAGCCTCTGTTGCTTCCTAACCTAGGCTTTACTGTGTAAGGGGTAAACAGCCACTTGTAATTTAGCGAGTAAGTGCAGGTCTTTGATGATGCACATACCAGCTCCACTGAAAACCAATCAATTTCTGTGCTTGGCAGTGGCATTCATAAGGTCCCTATGGAGCATTATCCCATGCTTGAGGGTCATTACTCTTCCACAGAAGCACTGACAGTTGTGATAAATGGTGGTACCTTAGAAGAGGAGTGTCTGGATGTTTAAACAGATTACATTTTCCATTAGAACACATCTTAGAATGTCTACTCATGTGGACAGTGAGGATGGAATCAGGACAATTGATATGTGAACTAGTGAGATTCAGGTGTATCAACCATCGTTTCTGTGGGAGAAACATTGTGCATCCTGTCACAATATTACATGTGCTTCAAAGCAATGGGTGATAACCATATATAGCTGCTGAGATGCTGGGATGTTGACAGGTGTGAGATTCTGTCCATCACTATTATCTACAACAAGACTCATTACTTGCCACCCAGTAAACATCCCATTTACACCATCTGCAATGAATTAAAAAGTGACGAAAAGAATCAAGATCAGTTTGAGTTGCAGCGTGATTGTCAAGTTCATTTTCATCTCTGAAAGCCCATTACTTCTCTGAGAGACTTCAGGGAAAAATATGTGCTGAAGAAATTGAGGAATAGCCTTGCAGTGGCAGATCTGATAATTGTCAGGTTTTTAGCCAGAAATTTACAAATACAATTAGCTTCTTCAAGTATAAGAAAAGTCCAGGCCTTTGTCAGTTCCCTTTGTCTGCACTTCTAGTTTTCTGGCGTGCCAGGACTGGGAATCAGTGTTTGATACTCCTAAATTGATGCTGACTGCAGTGAGAAATATTTCATAAAAATGTATATTTCAACATAAACTATGAGGCAAACCTGCCACTATATCCAGAGAGGAAGTAATGATTAGTTTCTAATTTACACGTGCAGTGATTTCTTTGGCAAGTGTGAATTCCATGTCCTATGGTAAGGTTCTTTGTAGCTGTTCCTAATTGAAGCAATTTGTGGGATATTAAAAAGATACAGAGGACTGTTGACACTTGAAGCCATTTAATTTATATATAAGCAAACTAGCTGCCTATCCAGATTACACATTTGGGTCATCTAGTGGTAAAAACTGCAGAGCCAAAGATCAAATAGAAGTCTTGTGTACAAGCCACATGAGAAATAGCAGAAGGGTTTGACATTTATTCATATGCATCACCTTTTATGAGAATAATTTATTGTTTTTTTGTCTTCCTTTTTCTTCATCAGATATTCCATCAATGAAGAAATAACTTTTGTTCTTACCTTAGAGATGGGAGTTCTCAGTGTTGCCCAAGGTATTGCTCTGAGCAAAGAGACCAATTCTGAAATGAGGATGTTGAAGATAAGCCTTTCCAAAAATAGCCCTTGCTATGCAGTTGAATTTCACTCCCAGAAATCCATCTCTCCCTCCCACAAATTGCCCTTGTGGTAGTAACATGGGAAGATTATATATTACCTCATCTCCTTACAAAGAAAAGGACATGTGCTATGGGAAAGCTTTGTTTCTTTTAATCATTTCAGGCATCCCTTGCCTTCAATATTTCACTGAAGAGGTCCTTGGTTGCCTTTAGAAAGACACTCTAGTGAGAGAGAAAGAAACAAAGTAATGAAAATGATGACCTCATCTGGAAAGGTTTTCTAACCAAAAAGGATAAAGGAGGGATAAGCTGTGACCGCATCCATGAATATGTTAGGCTGACAAGGATAGATAGGTATTTGAAGTTATGACTGCTTCTTCAATTCTTTGCTTGGTAACTGGTCTACATGATATTACAATTTGGCAGGAGACATCATCTCTTTATCACAAGCTCATCTGTACATTTTTAAGGGGAAAGATGCAAACCTTTTTATAGGAGATTTTTAGTGTTACTGACTTTAAATATGCTAGAATAAGGAAGATAAACATCACATTATGGGAACAGGGAAGCTATTTTGCAGAACCTAGCATGGGAGTGAATGAGTTTTATTGTTCCTTCTTCTTCTCATCTACTCAATCTTGAACTTGAACACTATATTAATTCTACTGGGACAAAGTTAATTGCTGATGGGTTCACAGAATTATAGAAGTGTAGACTTCTCTAGAAATAAAATCTGATTATGTTTGAGTCATTTCAGCTCTGAATGGCACATTTTCAAACTGCAATAGAAGTAATGTACCAGATAAGTTATACTGTAAATTTATAATGTTCATTTTAACTAATGTATAAACTGGACCAGCCTAACAATAAGATTGAGTTAGGAAAGCTATGGGTCATCTCTACAGCATCAGAAAAGGAAAGCCCAGTGTACTTGTAGGAAAATCCCAATTTTTCAGATTTTTTACTGGTTTTCCAAGGACCAAAGAAATGCTTGGAGGAGGATTGTATGAAGAGGCTAAGTGTTTGGAGAGTGGAAGTGAAATTACACTTTTACTTATTATATTTTTCCTATAAAATTACTTAATATACATTGCAAGAAATTGGTATAAACAGAGCTACTATACTCATGAAGTATTGACTAATACCTTAGGTACCACATCATACATTTATACAGAGTATAAAATTGTGGAGTTCTTAAGGTCCTTGTATGTCACTAGTATCCAATTGCTGTGGAAGTCTTCCTGCGCAGTCTTGGATTGGATTGCTTCTCAAATCTAAAAGCCCAGTTAAACAAAAGTTATTGCTCCCAGTTACTTTCTTGGCAAAACTTCATGTAACTGTCTCAGAAAATAAATATGGATTTGAAGAGAAAAGGGTAAATTTGTTAAGCTATATTGAGGATACTTCTTGGAGTGACCAAGCATCACTAGTTTAGTTTGGACTTATTTTTTGAGTGTTTATATAAAATAAAATGATGGAAAAAATAATTCTGAAGGCAAAAATGTCACACATTCTTCACATGTATCACAAATTCGAAGCTTCTACCTTTGTCATGAATGAGCAAATAGAGAGAGACCTGGCCTTTGTGTCTAGCTTCCTCTTAAAAGCCTCTTAATCCAACATAAGAGAGTTTTATGTATTTTTTTAACAACAGCAAACATGAATCAAATTGCCTGGTATAGCAGCCAGTGGCCACATCTGTAGCAAAGACTTTTTTGTGGGAGCTCCCAAAGCTCATAACCATGGAGTGAACCATAATTATATTGTTTAGAAATCCATGTCAGAGAAAAAGCTTTTTTGACTTTAACCATTTCCCATTAATTTTGGGTGGTTTGGAAATAGGCCAAAGAAATATTTTACCAAGTTTCTGTAACTTTTGTATTATTTTAATGGTTCTAAAGCAGAACCGATTAGTGAATGACTAAGGAAAGTAAACAAATAAACAGGAAGAATCAAATAAAAAGCTTAGGAAGGTGTCACTGTCCTTGATTTTGTGATCTTTTGGGGCTAGATTTCCTACTCTTTGATATCTTCTCTCTTCATGACTTAGAGAACTTCAGCTGGAGATAAAATAATAAGGAAATACAGTTAAGCTATATGATACTGAATAAATACCTGGATATCTAGAATTTCCATGGTTTGGTTTTGTTTAGAGACAGGGTCTTGCTCCATCACCCAGGCTGGAGTGCAGCGATATAGTCATGGCTCACTGCAGCCTCCACCTTCTAGGCTTAAATGATCCTCCCACCTCACCGCCAGAGTAGCTGGGACTACAGACATGACCAACCATGCCCAAATAAATTTTTAAAAAAATATTTTATAGGGAAGTCTTGCTACGCTGCCCAGGCTAGTCTCACACTCCTGGCCTCAAGTGATCCTCCCACATTGGCTTCCCAGAGTGCTGGGATTATAGATGTGAGCCACCACTATATTTTTAGCTGAAGATGAGTTTCCATTTATTTATAGAAATATAAGTGTTCTTAATAAAATTTCTGTGAGCTTTATTTCTTTGAAGACCATACTGAGAAGTTTACAGAAACATCTGGAGCACAACTGAGGCACGTCTACTCACTATTTCACATCTACTCACATCCCTTCTGGCTTCAAAAGTAATGTTTCTTATAGGCATGGAAAATACTTCATATTGAGCATCACATGATAAGTGGCAACTTTGCCTAGACTAATTTATAAGAACAGAAGCTGGAATATTATGTATGGTTTCCAAAAGAAAAGCATTTTTTACCTGAATAGCCCACTTCCTATATATCATTCTTTTCTTCACTTTGTTGCTTATGTATATCTCTATCTTCATTTCCATATGTCAAATATTATCTATCCTCAAAGGCTCATCCCAAATGCCTCTACCTTTATGAGGCCCTTCTTGCTTACTTCTCTTTACCTCTCCCATGCAACGAAAGTCATTGACTTCTCCTATATACCACCCACAACAAACTTTTGTGCACTTCTTTTATAAATCTTATTATTTAATTTTCATAATTGTCCATAAATTTGTCTAATCCCTCTGCTAGGTGTCAACACTTTAAGTGAAAGAACTTTAATACTGTGTCTTAGGACACATTATGCACACAGTAAATACTGTTACACAAATTGAATGTCTTTTATTGTCAATACTAACAGAATGATAGACTGATACATAAATGTATTACTATATTCAAAATAAGAAAGACAGTCAAAATAATTTTTAATCCTTGTGAGTCTACAAATTCCCCTTGTTTCAGATGCTCAGTATCCTCTTTAAAAATTTTTATTTTGGCCAGTTGTGGTGGCTCATGCCTATAATTCCAGCACTTTGGGAGGCTGAGCCCGGGCCGATCCCTTGAGGCCCGTAGTTCGAGACCAGCCTGGCCAACATGGCAAAACACTGTCTCTACTAAAAATACAAAAATTAAATGAGCCTGGTGACACATACCTGTAACCACAGCTACTTGGGAGGCTGAGGCACAAGAATTGCTTGAACCAGGGAGGCTAAGATTGCAGTGAGCAGAGATTACGCCACTGCACTCCAGTGTGGGTGACAGACTGAGACCCTGTCTCAAAAAAACAAACAAACAAGCTATATCTTGGCATCTGTAAAATAACCAATAAGTTATGAGTTTTTTAAAGTAGAGCAAATCCACACACTGAAATAAAATAAAGATATCAAGAAAGGAACCAGAAAATGAGAAACTATAACTTTCTTTGAAAAGAGTAAATGAGAATCTTTAAAACAACCCCTCAAAAAGCATTATTTAGAAAGCTAAAACAATGCACTTATTAACTTACCATCTTCAAGGCTTCCTCCTTAAGTGAAGAAGAAATATCACTAAAGAATTAAAGTTTTGTCTGGCGTCAGGCTTACTCAAAGCTGTTGACAGATCAACTTGCAATTTGGACTTCAGCCTATCCACAGTGAATGGGGATCAGCTTGGCTAGTGTATATACTCTATGCACATCATCATATATAATCTAAGCACATCATCAACCAATCTATGGAAAAAGTGATGTAAATACAACTGGCCACTTACCCAAAATGTACTGAGGAAATATTTTAATTACATAAGAAAAATGAGATGGAATTTGATAAGGGAAGGAAAAATAATTAAAGAAATTATAGTTCTATAGAACTAGAAAAAATATTTTATGGAAGGAAAAGTGAGTAAGCAGAAAAGCAAAATATTAAAAATGAGTTAGTTGGGGCCAGTTGCTTAGACAAGAAAAATGTCAGGTACAAGGTATACTTCTTAACTGACAGAGTCACCAAAAGTCTATTAATAGCATGAGTTTTAAAAGAAAAAGGGTCAACTTGTAACCCATTGTGAAATGGACTCTGCCCATAGCTTTCTAGAAAATAATATCCTTAGTGTGATGATTAGAGAAGTGAAAAAAGAGAAAGGCTCAAAGAAGGACAGTAGTAAATTGTTTATGTCCTAAACTGGGCATCATTAGCACTTGTATAGTTCGGTGAAAATTGCAGTGTTAAAGCCAAATTTCTGTTTACAAAAAGAAAATAATGCTATCGTAGAGAATGAATTGTACTGCATAGATTCAAGATATGAGGTGTTGCTGTGGTACCAGTAATATTACTATGCTGAAAAAACAATTAGCAGTAAAGATATACATTGAACATTTAACAGGATTTTGCTATTACTTTGATAATATCTTAGTATAGAACATAGAAACACAAGGCTGATAGAAGAAGTGTTAGATGTAATTGTCCCACTCTACTAAGTCATATAGTACAAAATTAACACTGACTCTAACTTAAAGAAAGTATTTTATCATAAATGATACACAAGGTAGCCTGCTTAAGAAAAGAACTCATTTAAACTTATAAAGACAAGTGAATGAGACTATCTGAAATGAGCACGTAAAATACTCTTTGATTAGCTATTTAGTGAAATATTATAAAAGGATTTTCTTTTCTGGAATAAGAGGAGCATCTGCCATTATATAGAATAGCTATAGAATTGTCATCTTTCATATTTTCTCAGTAGCCAAAGGTCAGAAATAAATATAGTAATACCTTAGTATAGTAAGAGGCTTTCATATGTTTGTTTATTTCTTTTGGTGCCTTTTTTCTTTAACCACTGTGAAGAAGTTATTTTCTTATTCATGACTAGTTTTCTTCAATGTGAGTTTTCAGTTCTTAATAATTATTAAGAAATGAGCTGCCTACATCTATTGTCTATGCAACCTTTGCTTTATATTAAAGTTTAATAAATAGTCCAGTCATAGGCTGAGCACAGAGGCTTACACCTGTAATCCCAGCACTTTAGGAGGCCAAGGCAGGAGGATCACTTGAGGTCTGGAGTTTGAGACCAGCCTGGCCAACATGGCAAAGCCCTGTCTCTACTAAAAATACAAACATTAGCTGGGCATGGTGGTGCACACCTGTAATCACAGTTACTTGGGAGGCTGAGGCATGAGCCTGGGTGACACAGTGAAACTGTCTCACAGAAAAAAAAGAAAGAAAAGAAAAACAAAAGAAATAGTATGTCGTGTTTTTAAAACCTGACATCCTTTTGATGCACCTGTAGATGAACTTAATTCTGAGACTAACTGATCTCTTAGGTCTCTTCAGATCCTTAGAGAAGTTACATGAGAGAAATGAGACAGTGTAAAAGGTCTGTACTGAAGGTCAATTCCCTGCAGGTTTCATCACACCTAAACTGAGGATGAACAGAGCCCACTGCAGTTGAATGTCTACATGGTGCTTTGTTGAAATAAGTGTGAGTTTTCCTTTCTCCTCTCACCCACAAACAAGAAAGAATCCACGGTATAACTATTTACAGTTCTGATACCATGGCCATAAGGCTAATCTGAGCGAGGCAGAGAAATGCACATGCACATGTGTCCCTTACAGAGAACCAAACCACATGGCCTACTCTCAGGACTGATCTGAGTGGAAGTTTAAGCCAAAATCTGTCTTATTCAATGGCTTCATCCAAATGCATAGCCACTATTTAAGAAAAAGAAGATATTCAAGTACACTAAGAAAAATTAGTTCATTTTAAATTCTGTCAAGGTGGCATATCTAGCACTAATGAAGGCACTGTTATGTTTGTGGCCTAAGAATTACAAATAATAGAAAATTAATACAAAAATGAAAGTACACTCTTTAAATAATGTTGCATTAAAGTTTAAACTAGTTTCTGTTCAGTAATATAACTTATATTTCCTTATTGTAAACCTTGCACATAGTCTTACTGTAAACTTTACACCTAGTAGGCACTTGATAAATACTTGAAATAAAGATTTTAATTGAAAGAAAATTGTAAGCTCTTACATAACATTAGGGCAAAGGAGACATTACTCCTAAATCTGTGTGCCTATAGTAACACACATGCACTCACATGCATATACCCCTACTCATTTGGATGCTCTACCACTGACCAGCACATTTTCTGCTCTAGCCATCAGTTTTCTTTTTCAATTGCTGTCTATGGGACCCTTTCCTGAGGTCCCAGCACCAGGACCATTTTTACATCTTTTCTTCTTTTGCCCTTCATTACCATTCAGTCAGTCACTAAACTCTGGCAGTTCTCACCCAATAATATCTTTTGATTCAGCCTGTTTCTTTTCTTTATTTTCAAGGGCTTACAGTGAACCAAGTGGCCCCTTATCTCCTTTCTGAACCACTGGAATAGGCCACCCTTCCTTCAGGCTATCTTCACAAAACAGTCTCAAAAAAGCATCTAGGATAACTGCTTCCACACATAATTTTCCATGTCTCATTTCTTGGCCTTGGATTTTATACTGCTTCTTTTCTACCTCGAGACTAGAATCTGAATTCCTCATCTGGCTCTAAAGCCACTCTACTACCTGTTATACTTCTTGGCCTCCTCTTCTTTCCCAACTCCAAGTTTCCCGTCAACTTCTGTTTCCCTGGAATGGAATGAACAGGAGCTTTGGCTTAGCATTCATAATCTTTATGAACTGATTCCTCATACAGCACCATCCCCCTGTAGTTTACTTCCCACTCTTCACTGCCCTGCTTTCTCCACTTTAGCCAAGTTGGTGGGCTTGCCGGTTCCCATTTCCATGCCTTTGTTTATGCTTTCTCCACTGTATTGTGTTCTTCTCTCTCACCTTGGAAAATGTATATCCATTACTTTCTTCCAAATTCTTTTTTTAACCTTATTTGTTAAAGACCTATATGCTTAAGTCTTTGTACACTGTGTATATACACTTTTGTATTGATCTCTAAGTGCTGCAGAGTTTTACCTGTATAGGCTTTGTTTTTTCCTCATTCCCAGCAAGAATTATAAACATCTTCAGGGCATGGAGAGCTTCTCCTCAATTATGATACAGAATTCTCCACATACAACTTCTTCAGTAAATGCTGACTTCATACCATAGGTGACCACTAGATATCAACAAGGCATTTGAATTCTCCTGTCTGGATTTTTTTTAAAAGATAAAAAAAAGTTGCATATTGCAAAAGGAAGGACTTACTGCATATTCATAAACCACTGGTCCAGACCAGGAGCTTGAGAATGCTTGAGGAACAGATAAAGCACTCAGGGCTCCTCCTGGGTATTTATTTGACTGGAAGTTCTCAGATGTGTTTTACCATGTAAAGAAAGTCAAGGGACCTATGTTTCCTTCCTGGTCAAGCAATAGTTTTCAGAGATAGTGGGTCAGGTCCACCATTCAGTAGAGGATGTTTGCCAAATGTTTTTATAATATTCAAATGGGTTTATCCTTAAGTGAGCATATTGGATAAGCATGCCCACCCAGACTGCTTTCTGAAGATGTAAGTGGGCAACAAAGCACAAGTGTGATTCAATCCGCTGCCAGAGTCTGACTGGCTCCAAAAAATGCTACACCCACCACTTTCCACTGTGCAAGATATACCAATTTACTCTAGTTGTGCCAGCCCAATGTTTGAGATTTATCAATGAATAGGTAAGGAAGAGACCATCAAAATTTTTCCTATACTTTTGGATATCAGAAATTCTTTATTAAAAAGAGTTTTTAAACTCACTGTCTCAAATTTCTGTAGGAACAGCTATTATGTAAAGAAATGTCCTTCTGACTCTATTTTAGCTCACCTAATAAAATCTGATGGTAGCACATGGATTGCTTCAGGGAAAATAGTTTCAGGGTTAAAAAAAGACTTGGAATTAAACTTTATATCTTGCTCCAAAAGAAGGACTCTGTCTCTGAGAGTATATGGAAAAGCTGTTTTTGGCCATGAATTAAAGAACTGTTTTATGAAGATGGTTCAGATCTAAGACTTGAAGAGGCCATTACTTTAACTAGAAGCTTGTAATATGTACTCATAAGTATCTGTGAAGACCCGCTCCTCCAGGCTGATGAAGAGAAACAGACTACTGAGAAGTCCTTGGTGTCCCAACTATGGGTTACCCTGCCCTGTTGATGATCTCTACCTTATTGCAAGGTGGATATTGTTATCCCTAATTTACAAATGAGAAAATTGTTGCTTAAAGTGATCAAGTGGCTCACACAATGGTGTGCCACTAGTACGTAGCTTTGGTAAACACTGATGTCTCTGGTACCAAAGCCCATGTTCTTGATCCTGGCACCCTGCTGCCTTTCAAGTAAATGACACAGTACATGTGAAAGCATTTTGCAAACTACAAAGTGGTATACAAATGGTAGATTATATGAGAGACAGAAAGTCCTGGGAAGGGCAATTTCCAGATCACCCTGAAGAAGGAGTAAAGAAAGAATGAATACTCTAGAAGGATTAGCAGCTCTTTTAGTCAGATACAGAACTCCATAAATTATTCATCTGTGATAGTTAGAAGCATCCAGAAATAGCAGAGTTCATATTTCTTTTTGCCTAAACTACCTGAAAGCGTACATATCCAAAGCAGGTTTTCCCTCCTTCATATACAGAGACGATGCTCATGGATAATGCCCCCTGAGAGAAAGAAGAGATGTGAGCAGAATTCTTATATTTTAATATATACGTCTACTTCATGAGCCATTTAATGTTAGTTTTCTGACAGTTTTTTATAATAATCACATGAAATTGGTACTAAATTCTTCTAGATTTATTGTTTGAGTAAAATTAGTTCCTAGAGATACTACCTTCCATGTTTTGGTATTAAGTAAATACAGACCAAATGAATGACTCATAGGATTTTTGACATATCTGACACATACCCCTACACATTTGAAAACCTAGTTTTTGAGCTGAGTGTTGTGGTGCACACCTGTAGTTCCAGCATTTCAGGAGGCCGAGGCAGGTGGATTGCTTGAGCTCAAGAGTTTGAGACCACCCTGGGCAATGTGGCAAAACCCCATCTCTACAAAAAAATACAAAAATTAGACAGGAGTGGTGGCATGTGCCTGCAGTTGCAGCTACTCAGGAATCTGAGGTAGGAGGATCACTTGGACCAAGGAAGCAGAGGCTGCAGTGATCCAAGATGGTGTCATTGAGACCCTTTCAGAAATAAAGGCAAGAGAGAGAGAGAAGAAAGAAAGAAAATCTAGTTTTTAAGATACAGGTAATTTTACTGATGTTAGGTAATGTGCCTTTCTATATTAAATATATTTGTTCTTCAAATCATTGTATTTTTTATTGATTTGTTTTCATAATTTCCTGGTTGGCAATTCTTGGCATTTTAGAAAGAAGCTTAAAATTTGCAGGCAAATACTTAAATGATTTAAATAAGCTATTGCTTCAAAGTTTCCTTAATATAATTAAACTTGAATGGTCACTGCTTTATATTTAATTTATCTTCATGACCAAATCTCTTAAGCCTGCATACAGCTAGTCTTTCCTTAATGGTCTGAGGAGATGACAGTATTGTTCTCTGTTAAAGCAGAGTTGTTCACTGCCTACCACAGTGCCAGGAACACAGTAGGTGCTCAATGAATAGTAGTGGAATGAATCATCTGTACTTTGTCATTTAGTTTCATAATTTATCCTGGAGTGAAAAGGGAGGCATTTAAATTAACAATACTTACCTACTTCCTGAGATTTTTTATGCTTACTCTCAAAGGTAATTTTCACATGAAAAATCTTTAAAGTAAAAGACTTCGAAAGTTCATGAGTTAAGCTATTACAAAAGAGAACTTTTTCACTACTCATAAAATAGCCAATGCGTTGTTCATTTTTATGACTATTAAAATCTTAACTTTTTGCTTGACTTTAAAAATATAAACTGTATTATAATAAATATATGCCAGTGTTGTTAAGAAACTTGAGAAATATACATCTTTGAGTATAGAAAGCTAAAGTCCTTGGCTCATGCTGGAAATAGCCCATTTTCTAATAGAGTTTATATTAGCCAAGGGTTTTATAGTCAATTTACTAGTTGTTAAGAAACTGAAGTACCAAGAAGAAGGGCAACTTGGTACATACCACAGGAAGTCAGAGACAGGGACTAAGATTTGGATCACTTGATATAGTCCTGAGAACTCAAGGTCATAGCTCAGCTAATTGGCCCAGCTGCTCCCCTCTGTTCAGAGAAATCTCATCTATACCATTGATTTAACACAGGAAGAGACAAAAGGACTCAGAAATTATTGGTTATACAGTCAGCCCTTAGTATCTATGGGTTCTACATTTGTGGATTTAATCAACCACACATCAAAAAGATTTGGAAAATACCAACAATAAAAAATGACCATCCACTAAAAAAATACAAATTAAAAATACCCTATAACAACTATTTACATAGCGTTTATTGTATAATATAAAGATATTATAAGTAACCTAAAGATGGTGAAAACTATAAGTGGAAGATGTGCATAGTTTATTTGCAAATACTGTGCCACTTTATATGAGGGACTTGAGCATCTGCAAGTCTTAGATCTGCAGTGGGGCCCTGGAACCTATCCCGCGAGGCTACCAAGGGACAACTGGATGTTTTTCTGGGTATTGTATGTGTATGAGATTTTTTTGTCAGTAATTGTGATTCATAGTTTCAGTATAGATCTTTCCAGCTTTTGTTTAAACCCATTTGTCGCATTGTGTTATAGTGCTCCCAGGAACAAATTTTGGTTGTGAATGTGCCAGAAACTGTGCAGTGAGTTATCAGTCTTTTGAAGAAAGCTGTTAAAGAATAGGTATTTAAACTTTTGTAAAGGAATTTGGCTATATTATTCTGAATGACTCTGATTCACCTGAGCCCTTCCTGTGTAACTCACTGCCAGAGTAGAAAAACCAAGTAGGTAGAACACATGTATCTTTTGTGTACCAGCCTGCTAGACCTCAAATGAGATTACTGTTGAGAGGAAAAAACAAATTTCCTTTTCATTCCACAAGGTAACTTAGCTGCTTTCAAATGCAAAAAACACTTTCTCCCCACAGCCTCCATTCTCCCTTCCTCAGCCCCTCCTCTTTAATTCCTATCTGGAATGGATTCCTCCCAAATGAGGATAATCCTGCCTTGGCTGTTTACTCACTTGGTTGCCTTCCTGGGCTCTGCACCGTCCACAACAGGCTTTGCCATTTTTTATTTATTCCTGCCAGAATGCACTTAGGAGTTTTTATTATAGTTGTGGTTGAGGTGGCACTTTAGCTCTAAGCTCTTATATTTATGATTTATAACTTTCTCTCTAAATTGCATGTTGGACTAGCATTTCTTAAGCACATTTTCTATATAGACACAAATGTTTCATAAAATTTGAAGAAAATATTGGGCATGGCAGCCCAATATCCAAGAATTCATTTAACTCACCTGCCTTCAGTGTTAGCTGATGCAGCTCAGTGCATCATGTATTAAATATATCTGGGCATTCTATAGTAGGCTATAAACAAATACCTAACTTAAGGAAACTATTGTGAAAAAAAAGTATGGGTGTCTTTCAATAAAATGAATTATAATTTATCATTGTTTCATATTACCAAAATACCCATAGACAACCGGATGGTCATTAAATTATGATTATTCCTTTTTAATGGT